TTACATAAAACTTTCAAAGGGATGCATTAAATTAAATTGTTCTGTACAAACTTGGCTGCATAATAAGGCCCCTAGAAACCTATTAACCAAGTCAGCTTTACTTTTTAGTAGTCATTACTGAAGGGAATTATCTCTTTACAAACACTAACTCTTTAATAGGACCCAGAGGCTTTTCATCATCAGCTGTAAGCAAACTTCATCACAGTTGATTCTCATTTAGACATGACCAGTAATGGATCAATTAATTTAAAGTTGGCATATCAAGGAATGATGGACACTCAAATTATGGTGTCCCCTAATCTACCTAAGAAGTGGGATGTAGTGAAATGAACATTGGGTTTGGAGTCATAAAAATGGCTTCAAATCCCGAATCTGTCATATATTATCTGGGTCCGTTTGGGTGGGCCCACCTCCTTTCTGGGCTTTGGCTTCTTTATTTATGAAATGAGGGGGTTGACTTGCTGGTGTATTAAGTTCTTTGCACTCTAAATACAATGATTTTATAATTTCCACGAGAATCCATTTACCCATTTGCCTATTAATACACTACAAATTAACTATGTCAGTTTGGTTCGACTTACATGAAGTGTCCAACATCTCTTTTAATCTCAATAAAATCAATTCAGTTCCACTGAAGAAACATTTATAAGTGAGACAATTTGATGCCATGGAAAGTTTCCTGGATTTGAAATCAGAGAACTTGGAATCAAATTCCATATATGTTACTTGCTATCTGTTTTAACTTGTGCAAATCGACCCTTCTAGGCCTCAATTCCCTCAACTAAAATAGAAAGAGTTGTACTCCATGGCCTAACTCTAAGAGATAAGAGCTTAATAGCACCAAATTCTGAAAACTTGTATTCTATGGGGGGGGTCAGGAAAATGGGCTGGTTTACACCATATATGCAGCTCTTATTTATATACAACCCTACACAAAGTAAATTCAAGTAAATCCAGGAAGGGGTGGGGGATTATCAATTAGGAGATTATGGAAAGCCTTGTATAGGTTAGGACACATTTATCAAATGCTTACCATGTCTGAGGTATCAGTCGTTGACCTCACAGAAGGATGTAACATACTACATAGAGAACAGGTCTTAATATCAAGGAGCCTTGAATTGAAATTTCATCTCTGACTTCAAATGTATGTATGACCCTAGGTAAGTCACTTGACCTCTATGTCCTAGGTCTCTAAGATGAATGAAATGTGCCAACTTCCTCCGTTGATATAGTTTCCTTACCTGGGGTTTCCTTGTACCAATGACATACTTTGCCAGGCTCTATCCTCGTTCCAAAGGACATCACTATTTAGATCAAGTGATATGATATGCATACACATAAAGATGTGAGGAAGGGAACAAGCAATTATTAAGTGCCTACTAGGTGCTAGAAACTATGCTAAGCACTTTACAAATATTATCTCATTTGATTTTCACAACCAACCCATGAGGTAAGTAATATTATCTTCCCCATTTAATAGTTGGGCAGACCAAGATGGACAGAAGTTAAAGGATTTGCCCAGGGTTTCTCATACAGGTCTTCATGACTCCAGACCCAGTTCTCTATCTGTTGCACCACTGACTGAAAGGCAATGTGTGATGAGGGCTCAAAGAGGACTTCAAATCATAAGTACCTAAGAAATTGAGAGGACAGACATACTAGGCATGTTAGGTGCTCAGAGAAGGTGTTCTGGAGGAAAATGGACACCTAAACTAGTTCTTAAAGCAGGTAGACTGAGGCATAGGGGATCCAAAAGGGAATCTCTCCATCCTCAAATGTGTCTTAAGCAATTTTTCTTTCTAAATCTCATCTTTGGCCTTATCACATTTTTATTTGCATCATATTCATACAAATAGGCTGCAAGGATCATTGATTTAAAATCAGAAGGATGCCCGAGGCCATCTAGTCTAACTTTCTCATTTAGCATGATAAATCTTATTCCCCTCCTCCATTCCTACCCAAATTATAAACTTCTTGAGAGCAGGGATAGTGTAATATTTCAACTTTATAAGTCTAGTGCCTAGAACAGGACCTTTCACCTTTCAGGTATGCAATATATGTCCATTGAATAGAATTCAATCAAGGCCAGAAAGTACTATTCATATTCTGAACAGATCTGACTAGGCCCCTCCAGTACTTAGTAAGCTCTAGCCACTCCCTTTTTCCTCTGGGTCAAATACAAACACCTTTGTTTGGCTCTTAAAGACCCTTGGCACCTGGTTCTAAGACGCATTGCAAAGCTTATTATATATCACATTCTTTCATACTCTGTATCATCCAGCCAAACTCACTCTCCTGCTGGTCCTCATACATGATACTCTATCTCACATCTCTGGGCCCTTGAACAAAATGTTCTCTCTTCATGGTGTGACCTAACTCCTTATCTCCATTTGATCCAATGATACATTCAACATGAGATGTTTCCTTATTGTACCCAGATTCTAGTGCCTTTTCCATGAAATTAGAGAGTGTGGTGTAGCAGAGAGGGAACTAGTCTTCAGGTAAGGGACAATTAGGTTCAAATCCTTCCTCAGACACTTTCTGGCTATGTAACTCTGCACAAATAAAAACCTCTCTGGGCCTTAGTTTCTTCATTTGTAAAATGAGGGAGCTGGGATCAGTACCCTAATATGCTTTTCAGCTCCAAATCCAGGATCCTGTAATTTATCATGATTATGATCAAAATCCAGTGGCAAGGCAAAAATCAAGATTGGCAATGCCCTGGGATGCAGAGAATTACCTTGGCAACTTCAATGTCTGACCATGCTCCAAGCATTCCACAGCACCTGGTTTGACCACCTCCATAGTCATTGGAACAAATTGCTCTCATGTACACACCACAACAGGGGAAGTCTTTGCATGCTTAGGGTAGATATCCTTCTAACTCATTCGTGAGTCTGGGGCCTGTTGGTTACCCTCTACCTGGTTTAGTCATCTGCTAAGATACTTTTACCAGGGTATGGAGTCTGAGCATGCTATAGTTTTTCAGAGCTCTCAAACTTGAGGGAGAATATTGTAGGCAACGCATATGGATTATGCACATTTTGAGAGGCAGTTTACCAGGAATGCAGAATTTGTTAAAAAAAAAAAAAGGAATAATATGGAATGAGCCAGGAAAGGTGTGCATGTCATACTGCTGAGAGTCTTAAAAGCCTAACAAAGGAGTTGTGTTTTATCACTGAAGTAGTAGTAATAGTGGTAGTAATAGTAATAGCAGTAGTAGTGGTAGCAGTAGTAGTAGTAGGAGGAGGAGGAGGAGGAGGAGTAATAGTAGTAGTAGTGGTAGTAGTAGTAGTAGGAGGAGGAGGAGTAATAGTAGTAGTAGTAGTAGTGGTAGTAGTAGGAGTGGTAGTAGTAGTAGTAGGAGTAGTAGTAGTAGTAGTAATAGTAGCAGTAGTAGTAGTAACAACAACAGCAACAAGTAACATTTATATAGTGCTTACTATGTATCAGGCATTGTGCTAAGTACTTTACAATTATTATTTCATTTGGTCCTCACTACGACCCTGGGAGATAGATACTGTTATCATTCCCATTTTACAGAAGAGGAAACTAAAGCAAACAGAGATTAAATGACTTGCCCAGGATCCCACATCTAGTAATTGTCTAAAACCAGATTTAGGGAGCCTTTTAAGGGTGATCAGATGTGCTTTAGGAAGGTAATTTTGACAATTATACAGACGATGGTTTAGATAGGAAAGAGATTAAGGTAGGGATGCTGATTTAGAGTGCTATTAAAATAGTATCTGTGTTGGAAGAAAAAAAAGCATGAATCTAAGAGAGGTTGCTTTCTTATTCTGATGTATCTGTGATCTCATTGATATAGTATATGTAGCATAGAGCAATGGAAAGAATGCTGGGAGTTGAGTCACATGTCAGGTTAAAAATCCTATTTCTTCCACTCAATTCTCATGTGACCTTAGGCATACCACTTAACCCCTTGAGCCTCAGTTTTCTCATATGTGAAATGAAATAATGGGACTAGATGATCTTTAAGAGTACTTATAACTCCAAATCTATGATTTGTTATCAATGTGGGTTTTCTGTAAATCCTCATAGATGAAAAACCATTTATTCAGCTTGGTGATACAATGGACTGAGTGTTGGAATTAGAGTCAGAAGACCTGAGTTCAATACAGCCTAAATTTGATTAACTATGTGACTCTGTGCAAGTGACTGTGCAAAGATTTAGCCTCTTTGCCTCAGTTTCCCCAAATCTTAAAATAGGTATAATAATATCACCTCCTGTCCTGGGTTGTTTTGAGAACCAAAATGGGATAATATTTGCAAAGTGCTTAGCACAATGCCCGTCACATAATAGAACCTTAATAAAGTCTTTCTTCTTTTCTTCCTTTTTATGATTGCTCAATGAGTGCATTGGCCATGACTGACCATGCTTTCTCTTAAGTTCCCTGCAGAGAGTCTACCCAATGTGATCAGAGTATTTCTTGACATTGCATTGATAACAGTAGATCATCCAGGCTTTCTATAGCTAATTCCTTACCTTCTTTATGTAACTAGCTAAACTTTTTTTTGTATTTATATTTTCTTTGATGGCATCTCTTAACCCACTGTTCTGTCACAATTCCTTGTGTGTGATATGTTGCATCCTATTTTTCCCACAATTCACTTCTCCACTTCTTTTTGAGTATATTTCAAGTTGGGCTCTTTTGGTGTATGACTTGAGGCCATAAACATCACCAGTAACAGCTATGTTGATGGAATCAACATGACTGAGCATGTGATTGAATTGGGGGAAGAGGAAAAAGAAAGAGGAAGGGGAGAGTCAATTTTAGCATCAAAAATGATGCCACTGTTTTGAACCTATGTAAATGGAAGGATGGTGGTGCTCCTAAAAGAAAGATAGAAGTTATGAAGAGGAGTTAGTTAAGCAGGCAAAATAACAATACCATGTATATTTAAACCTGTCCATCAACTTGACTTATGCCTTAAATCCTTCTTGTCCCAAATGCCAATACTCATTTTCTATTATTTCAGGAATGTCCCAGGTGTATTTCACTTTACATGCTACAGTTATCTTTGCAATGCCATCTTTCCCTTACTACACCAGTCCTCTCCTTAATTCCATCTCCATCTCTAGTTCTAATTTAATTTAATTTAATTTGAGGAACCACAATCAAATCAACTCTGGTCCATGTATAGAGGTTGGACAATCAATTCACCTTTGGACTCACTTGTGATTCCCATCTCAACAACTCTGGAAAACAAGACGTTCCTTACAGGACTCCATTCCCCTATGTGCGTTGCTTCTCTCTGTTAGGATGTAAAATCATATGTGGTAGAGATTGTCTTTCATTTTTCAAAATTCCTGGAACTTAGCACAATGCTTTTCACATATTGAATTTTTAATAAAATATTTTAAATTAATTAATGTGCTATTCTTATATCTATTCATATAATCTCATTTAATCCTCATAACAATTTTGTGAAGTAGATGTTCTTACTATTTTGATTTTAAAATTAAGAAACTGAGACTGAGTTTTAGATTATTTTCTTAGAGATGCTACTTGAGCCTGTTGGGGATAATGCACAGAAAGAGATAAAGAAGATAGGACCCAGGACAAAACTCTAAATGTTATTCTCTATCCTTTAAGGTCTTTCCAAGTTTTGGCCTTGCAATCCCTGATCTTCAGAGTTGAAAGGAACTTTAGAGGCCATATTGTAGCACCAGTATCTCTGCAGGAATATTTTATAACATCATTGATAAAGGGTTTCCAACCTCAATTAGAAGATTTCCAGTGCTGGGGAATCTATTACTTCCCTGGTCCTCATTTTATTCAGTGATGAAAAAAATGTGGGAAGGAATAGGATCATTGGACAATCTCCCCCACAAAGATATTGTAAAGAAAGTACTTCTAGAAATTAAAGATATCTATAGTCATGTGAAAAAATGCTCTAAATCACTTTTTATTAGAGAAATACAAATCAAAACAACTCTGAGGTACCACATCACATCTATCAGACTGGTCAACATGAGAAAACAGGAAAATGATAAATGTTGGAGAAAATGTGGTAAAATTGGAACACTAATGCATTGTTGGTGGAGTTGAGACATGATCCAACCATTTTGGGGAGCAATTTAGAACTATGCCCAAAGGGCTATTAAAATGTGAATACCCTTTGACCCAGTAATAGCATTCTAGGGCTGTATCCCGAAGAGGTGATAAAAATGGGAAAAGGACCCACATATACAAAAATATTTACAGCAGCTCTTTCTGTGATAGCAAAGAATTGGAAATTGAGGGGATTTCCATCATAAGAAATAACAGCATGGTAACTGATTTCATTCTTCAGGGATTTTCTCTTCCTAGAGAGCTGGAAATTGTCCTCTTTGTGCTTATCTTTGTGGTGTACATTATAACAATGGTAGGGAACATTGGCATGATCTCACTAATTTGATTAGATCCCAGATTTCACACCCCATGTACTTTTTCCTCAGTAACTTGGCTTTTGTTGACCTTTGTTACTCTTCCTCAATAGCCCCCAAGTTCTTGGCAACCCTCTTGACCAAGCAGAATAGAATTTCTTTCTATGCTTGTGCAACTCAGTTAGGCTTTTTTCTCACATTCTTAATTTCTGAGATGCTCTTCCTTGCTATGATGGCATATGACCGCTATGTGGCCATCTGCAATTCTCTTCTCTACATGGTAGTTATGTCTCAGAGGGTTTGTATACAGCTGGTAATAGGTCCCTACTTGTATAGCTTTTCAGTTGCTTTGCTTCACACTGTGGTCACTTTTTGCCTGATCTATTGTGGTTCTAATGTCATCAATCATTTCTACTGTGATGATGTCTCACTGATGGCACTTGCTTGCTCAAACACCAGTCTCAAAGAGATTTTGATTTTTATCTTTGCTGGGTTCAACATGATCAGCTCATTGTTAACAGTTCTCATTATATATATATATATATATATATATATATATATATATATATATAGTCACTGCTATCTTGAAGATCCAGTCAACTGAAGGAAGATGCAAAGCTTTCTCCACCTGTGCCTCTCACCTGACCGCAGTCACTGTATTCTATGGGACATTGATCTTTATGTATCTGCAGCCCAAGTCAAACCACTCCATGGATACAGATAAAATGGCCTCAGTGTTCTACACAATGGTGATCCCCATGCTGAATCATATGATCTACAGACTGAGGAACCAAGAAGTGAAAATTGCCCTTCAGAAAATGATTCAAAAGTTACATTCATTACTCCTGGCATATTTAAAAAAGTGAGCAAGTTGTGAATTAACAAAGTATACACATCATTATTTTATTCTTCATTGACCAGAGGTCAGCTTTAATTTTTATATCATATTTTTCCCATCACCTTTGAAAATATAAAATTAAAAAAAATAAAAACCCGGATACGTTTTTGACAGTAGTTACTAAATATGGAGGTTATTTTTTTCTTTAGTTTCTTTTATCATTAAAAAAAATTTTCTTGGAAACAAAAGATTGTTTAATTACATAGCAAGTGTTTATGTGAAAATACTAAATTTTTAATGAATGTGTGAATAAGATTTAATTTGTCTGTTACCTTCTCCTCCAGTTAGTCATGTTATTTTCCTTAAGCTCAATTTTTTTGTGGGGAAAATATGCTACCTACATTAGTCAATGAACATTTATTATATGCCTACTACATATAATAGCAGCAGGCCCTGTAGTAAACAACACATTATAAGGTTATTAAGAGGATTAAATGAACTAATGCATATAAAATAACTCTGAAAGTTTGTGGAATTTATGCAAATATATGATGATTTTGTTGCATTTCTTGTCTTGTTCATATATTTTTTTAATGTAATTCAATTAGAAATAGGTGGGAACAAATAATTAACTATCATCTATTTATATTTAATGTTCTGAAAACTATTGCAAAAAATAGACAAATTGATAGCTTTTTAATTGCGTTAAATATTAAGAAAGAAACCAAAATTCTGTAGGTTCATTGATAACATCTTGGAGACAATTAGAGTGACAAGCAGGATGATGTGTCCCATCAGGCTTCCATTTCTTTCATTCATTATCTCATTTTTCTTCCATTTTTGTTGGTATTGTTCAGTTTTTTAGTCATTTGCAATTTTTGGGGTTTTCTTGGCAAAGGTACTGAAGTGGTTTGCCATTTCCTTCTATAGCTCATTTTACACATGAGGAAATTGAGGCAAACAGGGTTAAGTGACTTGCCTACAGTCACACAGCTAGTAAGTGTCTGGGGCCTGATTTGAACTTAGGAATGTAAGTCTTTCTGACTGAAGACCCAATACTCTATCCACTGCACCACATATCTGCCCACTTTTTTCTGCTAGATATCCATATTTTGAAGATTTATTTTTCGTAATGTTAGGAAATTATAAGTATTGAATGTGGCCACTTCTATTGAAAACATTTTTTTTAACTTTTTATGGAATTTTTTAAAGTCTGGGAATTATGGATAATAGTTTTGAGTATGATAACGTTCATTTTACAGGACCCTTTATTCACTGAATTTTCTGCAGTATTTTGGGACCTCTCATTTGTGCTATGGGGATTCATTGTCTGTCAGGTTAGAAAGGACAGTGACCTGGGGGTGAACCATTTTGACACCTTGATTGTATATAAGTATTTGTTAGGTGCTAAATATTTGCAACTGTACACAATATGTTGTTGAGTCTCTATTGTTTTCTTGTCTAATTTGAACCAATAAACAAGTCTACATTCTTTGAGGATAATTTTATTATACTTCCTGGAGACAATGACCTGAACCTATGTTCAATTTAATTGTTTTTCAGTTGTGTCTGACTCTTCGTGTTCCCATCTGGCATTTTCTTGGCAAAGATACTGCAATGATTTTCCATTCTTTATCCACTTCATTTGACAGATGAGGAATTGAGGTCAACAGAGTTAAGTGATTTTCCAATGTCACATGTTTAATCAGTGTCTGAGGCCGGATTTGATCTCAGCTCTTCCAGACTCCAGGCCTGACATGCCATTAAAAAAAAAAAGGAAAAAAAAAAACAAGAAAAAGAAAAAAAAAACACTGGACTCAGGATTTTCTGTGATCCTTCCTTCGTAATCTGTTGTTGGTTGAGTCATGCTGCTGCTGGTGCTTATTAAGAACTTTTTAATTCTACTTTCCATTAGCCATTTTATCAGCTCCTTGAAGAAGTAAGTTATTTTTGGTAACTATTGAAAACCACTACTACTGCTTGGTGAAGTGATGTCTGTCCTAAAAATAGTTCCCTAAGTTTTTGACCTATCATGTGCTCTAATTATAATGTACATTTTAGCATTTTAAGAATATGTGATTTTATCATTATGTATACTCCCTGGATGAAGCCCTTCTATGTCTTGGTAGATGGTCTTTCAGATTTACTATAGCCAAAATATTAAATGCCCTGAGAAAAAACCAGTGTTGACCCCCTCAGAATTTGAGAAGGTTGTCCCATAGGCCACAGGCACATCATTTATCATCAGTACTAAATACAAAGACTTCCCTGCTAGGTTTATCTCTTAGACTGTGTTCCACTGGCATAGCTAAGGAAGGAGGGAAGGAAGGAAAGAAGGAAGGAAGGAAGAAAGAAAAGAAGGAAGGAATGAGGGAAATAAAGTAGGAAGGAAACAAAACATGCATTTATTATGTGTGAATGATAAGTATGATATTAAGGACAGGAACTGTGCTACGGGTTCTACAAATATTAAATCACTTGTTCCTCACCATAACCCCTGGAGTTCATTGGTATTATTATTTCCATTTTATAGTTGAGGAAACTGAGGCAAAAGAAATTAAGTGATAAGCTATGGCCACATAGCTAGTGAATTTTTTCTCACATCTTCTAGACTTCAGATTAAACAATTTATCCACTGGGTCACTTAGCTGTCTTTATGCTATTGAGTGATATAACTTTTAACGTTAACTTTGGATGACAAGGAATTAATAAAGTATGCCTTCGTTTGGAGAGATAAGATGGAGTAATTAGAAGTCATTTCATTTTTCAGCAATGTGGAATGAAGTCTTAACTTAGGTTTTGTGTGCTAGGGCAAGGAAGGACATGGTCATACTCATTAAGTCATATGGTGAAACTCAATGTTTCTCAAAATCTCTCAGTAAGTCCACTGTTGTTACTTTTATTACAGACATCATTTGCTAAACATTTTAATAGCACTGTTTTTTCCAAGGGTTTTGTACAACATAGATATGCGTGTACTTTACTTAAATTTTCAATGTTTTTGAGTGTGTCCTCCCCAAATGTCTTTCTTACTTATACTGGAAGTTTCTCATTAGTTCTTCACTTCCTCAGGAATTGAGAAAGTTCCTAAGTGTATCTTCCCCAAATTGTCTTTGTTTATTATAAAGAGATATAATTTTAAATGTAATTAATAATAATAATTAACATCTCTATAGTTTTTTTTGTCTTTTGACTCATGCATAAGTTAGATATAAGTGAGGCAGAGTTATGCTAAGTCATCAGCTTCACTTCCATAGTCATCTGAGTCTAGTGGAAAGACATAAATCATCTGTCTGGCAATGGCTCAGGATGCAGTGGATGACATTGGCATCTTTGATATCTAACCAAACTCTAAGCATGCTATAGTGCCTGCTTCCACCACATTCCTGGCTCATTGGAACAAATTGTTCACATCCACCTATTCTACTGGGGAAATCTTCATATGCTTGAGGGAGACACCCCCCTAACTCACTGACAGGCTTGAGACTCTTCAATTAACCTATTTTTCAACTGGTCTGTCAAAATGGTATACTGTGGTGTGGCTGCTATGCATGCAACAGCTTTTTGGAGTCATAGATGAATTGAGTGGCAGAGGTATACCACAGGTAGAAAGCAGCCTTGAAAAGGGCTCGGCAGCCATCACACCAGAGGTATTGATCTAAACTGAACACCTGTACTCCCTATTTACATAGCACATGCTATGTACTAGGCACTTTGCTAAGTGCTTTACAATTATAATCTGACTTGATCCTCAAAACAATCCTGTGAAGTAGGTGTTTTAATTATCCCCATTTTACAGATGAGAAAACTGAAGTCAATTGATATTAACCTAGGATCACACAACTCATAAGTGTGTGAAATCAGATTTGAACTCAGGTGTCCTTGTCGGTTGGCTGAAATATTCTGAGGATGATTTACAAGTTACATGGCCCAAAACTGCATAGCACTAAAGGGAACGGATTGGTTGGAATTTGCATTGTTGGAAGAGGTGCCTATATGATTAAGACCAGAAATTAAAATAGTGAAGTATTTGGGACTAGGAAGGTGAAATATTCAAGATCATATATTTAGAGCAGTGAGAACTGGAAACTACTAAGTATAACCCCCTCATTTTACAAATGAGGAAACAGAGGCCAAGAGTCTAAGACAGTTAATGACAGAGATAGAACTCAAGTCATCTGACTCCAAAACCGTGGGGTATTTCATATTTGTAATATTGTTTTAATTTCAGAGAATACATTTTATGAAGGATATTGATAAGATGGGGAGTACCCAAAGGTGAATGATAACAATCAAATCCAATTGACCCCAGGCCATGGAAGAGCTCAAAAAGGATTTTGAGAAGCAAGTAAGAGAAGTAGAGGAAAAACTGGAAAGAAAAATGAGAGTGATGCAAGAAAATCATAAAAAACAAGTCAACCGCTTGCTAAAGGAGACCCAAAAATACTGAAGAAAATAACACCTTAAAAAAATAGCCTAACCAAAATGGCAAAAGGGTTCCAAAAAGCCAATGAGGGGAAGAATGCCATAAAAAGCAAAATTGGCCAAATGGAAAAGGAAGTCCAAAAGTTTACTGAAGAAAATACTTCCTTAAAAATTAGAATGGAGCAATTGGAAGCTAGTGACTTTATGAGAAATCAAGACACTGTAAAACAAACCCGAGAGAATAGAAAAAAATAGAAAACACTGTGAAATATCTCGTTGGAAAGACAACTGACCTGAAAAGTAGATCCAGGAAAGATAATTTAAAAATTGTTGGACTATCTGAAAGCCATGATCAAAAAAAAAAGAGCCTAGACATCATCTTTCTAGAAATTGTCAGGCACAGCTAGGTGGTACAGTAGATAGAGCACTGGACCTGGACTCAGGAGGACCTGAGTTCAAATCCAGCCTCAGACACATATTTTCCTAGCTTTGTGACTTTGGGCAAGTCACTTAACCCCAATTGCCTCACACACACACAAAAAAAAAATTATCAAAGAAAATGGTCCTGATATTTTAGAACTAGAGGGCAAAATAGAAATTGAA